ACAATATCATATATTTAAATTAATCGAAGGATAAATATGTTGAGTCATATATCATAAGGATCAAAATTAGAATTTATCAATAATTGAAGTACCAAAAATGCTATTCTCGGTAATATCCATTAAGAGACAATATCATATATTTAAATTAATTGAAGGATAAATATGTTGAGTCATATATCATAAGGATCAAAATTATTAAGTAAAAATTACTCTAAGTATCGAATATGCACAGAGCAAATACATTTAATTTCTAATAGGATAATTACCCTACTGATTCCTAAAACCTAACTAATTAATTGAATTAATTAAAAGTTAACTACAACTTGCTGCTTGAAAGGGAAAGTTAATAGTTTCCTAAACAAATTTAGAAAAAAGACATAAAAGAGACTGTGTACCATGAATGTGTTGCATCTTAATCTACCTAACTTAGCATTTTATTCATCATCATTATCATGCCTATTGGAAATTTGTATTTTTATATTTATATTTTATTTGTTGTTCTTAATGTGTTATCATTATATGACGGCGTTCAATTGTATATTTTTCCAAAGCTTTATGTCATTTTCCCTCTTTAATTATAACTCTTTATTCTAGGTTATCGATCAATAAAGGGATAGCATGAATATAAAATATACTACGTTAGCAGGATTTGAATAAAGACTATCTGATGTAGATATTTTATTCTAATACAAATAATATTAGTGATTGCTTCAACAACTTGAACTTAACTTTGTCATTGCTTCGAAACACTCTTCTAAATTATTGATCTTTTTTTAAATTACATGTAAATATATTTGTAGATATAGTTAATTTTTAATTAAAAAGTAAATGTATGTACATTTGTACCTATAATCAATTTTTTCTAGAAAATTGCCTAATTATGCTGCCCATATGTGTATGCTTGGAATATTTTATATCGTATTTGTGTTCGTGATAACTACTAATCAGTACTAGTTGGAGATTTGGGATTTTTTCCATGTGTTTATTCCAATTTGAAAGCAAAGAATTAATATAACTCGAATTCAAAATTTAAATTTTAGATGAGTTCGTGAAGAATTTAAGATGTTGAAAATTTGAGATTTGTTTAAGTTCTTTGTATTCTTAAGGAAGAAGAAGCAAAAAAGAGTATATAGATCCAAAAACTCCAATTGAAAAGTGTTAAACGTTGTTTGGGGTATAAATAATGGTTTTGCAAATTCGGAGTTAAAAAAAGGGCATAGATGAGCCTTTTCTTTAACAACAATGGCATAGATGAACCAAAATTTTAACGGATGGCATAAATGAGTATTTTCTGAAAGTTCGATTACATATTTGAGCCTTTTCCCTTCTTTATATTAAATTCATTATATAAACATATAAAGAACTTTTCATTTATTTTTTAAAAAGTCTCAAATTTAAAGCCTAGAGCGAAATAACAACTTCTAATTATGTACACGATAAACTTAATTTAATAGGATCGGTATACCTCCTGCCCTCCAAATCGTACGTGAAGGTCTCCCCACGTAAACTTAATTTATTGCCTTAATCTAATATTTTCTCTTTACCATAGTCCATATCATGGAGCTTCACAAAAATTCCTCAACGCTTGTTCCGAGAGGGAAGTTATCTTTGTAAATAAGTCTTATACGATACAAATTCAAATTAATATGGCCTTAATAAGGCCGGTGAAAGCAACTGATTATACAACAAAAGAAAGAACCAATACGAAAGCGGCGCTCGACTAAATAAGAAGGGAATTACTCAATTTTTTAAAATTAATTTTGTGCGTAGTTTTCTAAATACATATAAATATAATAAAACTACTTACTTTAATTTGATATTATACAATAAATAATTTATTTAATGTGGTTTAAATTTTTCCCACACATTATCGTAACGAAAGTTTAGTGTATCGAGTTAACTTTTTTTTCCTTTTTTTAACATGGCCTAATTTGAGCTTGCGTAGATTGAGAGGTCAGCATCAAGGTGCAATACTCATTTCATGTGGAGTTTTGAGATAAAAATTTATTCGAACTCAATGTTTATGTTAAAAATAAGGGATAAGAGTCTGAAAAATATCTCAACTTTGGTCGAATTTGCTGTTGCGATACTAAACTTTCATGAGGACCTATTACCTCCCTAGACTATTTAATACCGTATTTTAAACATATATATTTGCCCACGTGGACATAAAAAATAATGCAAAATTATAAATAGTAATGTGTCCACGTGGGCACATATATACCTTTAAAATACACTATTAAATAGTT